CGCTGCCATGGTACCGGCTGGGAGCGGATCGTCAGCTCTCTGGGACGAAAATGAAGACGAAGACGAAGACGAAGACGAAGACGAGGCTGCTGGGAGGGGGGAGGGGGGTACCTTCCGCTGCGGCGCTCCACGCGGTACTCGAGTCCGCAGCTGCCCTTGAGGATGTAGGGGTCGTCGGGGTAGTCGTACCCCTCGCACACCACTTCAATGCGGCCCATCTTGTAGTCCCTGCGCACATGCCCACGTTCAGGCATTGAGCACACGACACGACACGACCAACGACACGACACGACACGACACGACACGACACGACACGACACGACACGACACGACACGACACGACACGACACGACACGACACGACACGACCAACGACACGACACGACACACTGTGCATACATGACGACGTCGCACTGTGCCTGATGCTTGTTGTTGCTGTTTCCTTCTTTCTTCGCCTGCCAGACGGCGGCCGGTGATTACCTCATGCGTTCGCTCGAGTACATTCAACGGATGATCAAGGACGAGGCCTTTGAGAGCCAGAAGGAAGCGCTCTTCAATCGACTGGCCGAGGGCATGAAGAGGTCTCCACCTTCTCTTCTCTTACGTTGCGTTGCGTTGCGTTTCATGTGCGTGTGTCGTGTGTCGTGTGTCGTGTGTCGTGTGTCGTGTGTATGTCGTGTGTGTCGTGTGTTGCGTGCGTTGACCGACGATGATTTCAGGCTGGGGAGCATTTATCTGCGGCAGAGCCGACATCAGGAGGCCGTGCTGGTACTCGACAAGGCCCTCAAGCTGCGCGAGCGCGACTTCGACCGCTACAAGGAGATCGAAGCCGCCGCCAAGGCTGCGCAGAGGTACCGCTCCACCCGTTTTTAGTTTTGTTTTATTTATTTATTTATACAAACACGACACGACACGACACGACACGACACGACACGACACGACACGACACGACACGACACGACACGACACGACACGACACGACACGACACGACACGACACGACACGACACGACACGACACGACACGACACGACACACGCGCAGTGCTTTGCCAGAGGCTGGCAATTGGGAGGAGACGCACGTGCAGAGACAGAGGAAGCGCGCGCAGGCCGAAAACCTCATCGACTACTCCTTTACCATGACCCTCCTCGCCAGGGCCAAGCTGCAGCACCTCCAGGCCATCAAGCGCAAATATAAACACGAGGTACCCGTGTTCGTGTGTGTCGTGTGTCGTGTGTTGGTGTCGTGTCGTGTGCGGTCATGTGTGTGCGGTGTGTGCTCAAGGAGTGTGCGATGTCTCCAGAACGCGTCGGAAGAGGAGAAGGCGCTGTTTTTGCAAACGGCCGAGGAGGCGGCTCAGAATCTCGAGACGGCCAACTTCCTGCTGACCACTTCGATCGTCGCCGACGCCCTCCGCTCCTACGACACCTTCCTGCCCGACGCCAAGGCCTCGCAGCAGCAGCAGCAGGACTACCTGGCGCAGGCGGTGGAGAAGGAGCGGCCCAACGCCCAGGCCCGGGAGCTCAACTCGCTGGGCTTCTGGAAGGGCAACCTGCTCGAGCAGAAGCTGCTGCAGGCCCAGATCGAGAACGCGATCCAGCGCGCCCAGCTCCAGAACGCCGCGGGGAGCCCGACAAGGCGCTCAAGATCCTGGTCGCCTCGCTCCGCGACAGTTCCTCCGTGTTCGAGAACTATCTCGAGGTAACGTCACACACCACCGCACACGCCGCACACACCGCACACGCGCGACCGCACGCGCACTGACATGGTGGCAGGGGCTTTCGAGTATGTCGTCGCCGGTGGTGGCGCGCCTGATCTGCCACATCGTGAGACGAGGCGCGATCTGCTGAAAGGTGCGACACACACACGCGCAGGTGCCTGAGCCGTCGACACGGAGTGCTGACGTGGCATGTCGTGTCGTGTCGTGTGGCCAGAACGTGTGAAGCCGCGAGAGATCAGGGACGACGAGGGAGAGGAGGAGGTAGGTTGGGTCATCACCAATTCCAAGGTCGACGATTTCCTCAACAAGGGCGACATCCTGCTGGGCCAGGCCATGCAGGCCCTGCGCCACCGCCACGACTCCGTACGTTCGCACCTTCTTCCCCCTCCGCCCATGCGCTCACGACACGACACGACACGACACGACACACATGACGTCACGCAGTTCGAAGGCGCGTCACCGGAGCTGAAGCAGTTCGAGAGCCTGGCGCTGTGGGAGGGCGAGGAGGCCCTGGCCCGGTGCCTGTACAACCAGGGCATCCTGGCGCTGATGCGGGATCGGTACTACCACAACCTGGTCGACTTCTTCAACATTACCCTGCCCGAGCCGGAGGCCGAAGCCGACGAGCACATCGACGATCTCGTCAACGCCATGGTCAGGTACTTGACGCCACAGACCTCCATTCTTCACATTTCGCAGCTTCAACCGTGATTTCTGGGGCGAATTGAAGATATTCGAAATATGCTCATATTTTTTGGCTGGGAGCAGAGACGACGGGTTGTTGGGCGAAGAAGCGATGTGGGAGGCCTACCAGCTGCGCAAGAAGTTCTACGACAACAGCGCCACGCACGTCGAGGTGCTCAAGTGCCTCCTGCCCCTGGTTCGGGCCTACAACCGGCAGGGCGAGAAGCACGAGCAGGCCATCAACCTGCTCGAGCCCGTCGTCGCCGAGCTGCAGTCCCAATCGACCGACGCCGACGCCGATGCCGACGCCGACGCGCGTCGGACCGCCGAAGACAAGAGCGAATGGCTGGCCAAGTGCCTCAACCTGCTGGCCGAGGCCCGGGAGCAGGCCGCGCAGTTCGAGCAGGCCGAGAAGCACCGCCTGAAGGCCCTCCATATCCTGAAGCGCACGCGCGGCCCGCACGACTACGAGACCGTGCAGGCGCTGCGCGGCCTGGCCGCAGGCTTTGTCCAGCGCGAGCTCTACCCCGAGGCCGAGAAGTGCGCCCACACAATTCTCCTTTGGCTGCCTTTTCATGTTTGCTAACCACCTGCGGTGTGTGCGGTGTGTGCGGTGTGTGCGGTGTGTGCGGTGTGTGCGGTGTGTGCGGTGTGTTTCATAGGTTGTTGAAGGCGGTGCTCAAGTCGTGGAACCAGAGCGCGGCACAGGGGGCGGACATGACCTACGAACTCATCGACGTCCTCCATGATCTTGCCACCATCCAGTCCGAGCTCAGTAAGCGCCGCACGCCGCACACGCCGCACACGCCGCACACGCCGCACACGCATGACTCACTCCGCACACTCACAGAGCGACCGGCGGAGGCGGAGGAGAGCTTCAAGCTGGCGGTGCAACTGGCCCAGAGCGGGCTGGGCGAGTCGAAGAAGGGCCGCGAGCGCACCAAGCTGCCCGAGGCCAACCTCCCCACCCTCATCAACACCATGGGCTGGTTCTTCTACACCGAGCGCAAGCCCAAGGTTCGCAGTTGTTCTACGCGTGCGTGTGTGCGATCGCTCGCGTGTGTGCGTGTGCGATCGCGTGTGCGGTGGTGCGTGTGCGCTCAATGAATTGACACACAGGAGGCGAGGCCGTGGCTGGAGAAGGGCTACGAGGCGCTGGAGCGGAAGGAGCGGATCATCAAGCGGATGGAGCCCAAGATCGCGCAGCTCTTCGCCGAGATGCAGCAGCTGGAGCAGGAGGACGCCGAAGCGCTCCAGGCGGCGGCCGCTGCCCAGCAGGCGGCGGGCTTGCAAGCCGACGTTGGTAGCACACAACTTCAGGAACAACAGAAGACGATTCTCGAGAGCCTCGACTCCGACAGGTACTCGTCGCGTGTGTCGTGTGTCGTGTGTCGTGTCGTGCAGCGCATGTGTCGTGTTGTGCTGATGGTGCTGGCCTCTGCGCAGGGAGATGAACGCACGACAGTTGATCAACAATCTCGAGGCGCTGGTGGAGCTGTACACGATGGAGAACAGCCCGGACAAGGCCGCCACATTCGCGCAGCGTCAGGTGGAGGTGCTCGAGGAGCTCATCGCCCGCAACCAAGCCGAAGAAGGTACGGACACCCACACCGCACGACACGACCGCACACGCACGCACCACACTCACTCTCCGTGCCCCGTGGCTTGTGGCTCTACACAGCGGAGCTGGCGGAGCCCCTGGACGACTTGGCGCACGCCCTGCATGCGGTGGGGGGCAAGGGGGAGGAGGCGTCCAAGGCGCTGGAGCGGTCGATCGCCATCCAGCAAAAGCACAAATTGTGACTTTGAAGAACTGTGAAAGAAGTTTTGTTTGTCACGCGTTGTGAGCGGGGCGTAGAGGCTTAGTTGGCGGCAAGGCGCATCTCGCTCTCGGCGGACAGGGAAGCGAAGGCCTTGCTGAGCGCGGGGTAGTTGGGCACGCCCAGGCCGGTGACGGGATCCCAGCCCTTGGCGGGCTTGAATCCGGGCGAGCACATGAAGCCGTTGCCGTTGTCGCTGCCCGAGGTGATGTCCAGCAGGGCGCCAGGGAAGCGCTGAGCAATCGTGTACTGTAAACAACACCAACGAGAATAGTCAGCGCGTGTCGTGTTGTGCAGGCTGTGTGTGTGCGGTACCAGCTGCGAGTTGAGGAAACCGAGAGGAGGACGGCCCTGCTGCAGCCTCTCGTCGTTGATGAGGGCGATGACAGCCGAGAAGACGGGCGCAGCGCAGCTGGTGCCGCCCACGAACTGCTGGCTTCCCTGGTAGATGATCTGCACACCCTGTGATTGATTATATATAAAAAAAGTGTTGTGAGTTCACCGCACACACCACCGCACACGCACACGCACACGCACACGCACACCGCACACGCACACGCACACGCAAGAGCGGGTGAGGTACCTCGCTGAAGGCGGAGACGTCGGGGAACGCGCGGCCCGAGATGTTGTAGTAGGAGGCCGCGGGCAGGTTGCCCTGTGCCAGGTAGTCCGCGACGGCGGCCTTCTGGTACTTGGCCTGTCCGAAGTAGTTCGAGAATCCGCCCGACGAGATGCCTGCACGGTGCGTCCGCGCATGAGTCGCGTGTGCGGCGTGTGCGGTTGCGTGCGTGCGACGTGTGCGGTTGAGTGCGTGCGACGTGTGCGGTACGTACTGTCGCTCTGGATGAGGAGAGGAGACTCGGAGGAGAGTACGGTGCCACCCACGGCGGTCACGTAGGCCGACGTGGCCGGCCAGTTGGGCTCGAAGCGCGAGCCCAGAGTGTTGCAGCCCACGCCATCGTCACCCGACGCGAACAAAATCGACTTACCTGTTTTAGCGTGTGTGCAGCGTGTGTCGTGTCGTGCGTGTCGTGCGGTTGTGCGTGTGTGCGGTTCAGACGAGTGGTCGTAGAAAGGGGAGAAAGGTGACGCGGCATGACGTGGCGTGGCGCGTACCGGTGAGGCCGACCTTCTGGAACTCGAGGTCGACGCGCTGCACGTAGGCGAGGGTGATCGACGACTCCACGTCACCGTAGCTCACGCTGTTCACCAGCGGCGCCGCTGCACACCAGCCACGTGCCACGTCAGCAACCGACACCTTAAGTCGTACGTACGCGCGCGTGTCGTGAGCGCGTGTGTCGTGCGGTACGAGACGTACGAGAGTTGAGGTCGTTGATGAACTGGATCCACTCGAGGAAGGGCTCCTGCGACTCGTGGCGGCCGGCCGTGTAGACGAACCAGGTGGGCACGTTGGTGGCCACGCCCATGATGTACTCGATGTCGAGCTCGGCCTCGACGCCGGGGCTCGAGGCGTCGTTGTGGCCCACCACCTTGACCGGCGCCTGGACCGGCAGGTTGTAGGTCTGCTGGAAGAGCGTCAGGTCGCTCGGGGTGTAGTACTGCTCCAGGAACTGCGCCACCGCCTATTATGGGACACCACACATAAAAAGCTCGTTATGGTGGTTGTGTGGTTAAGGTGGCGGTATGATTAAGGTGGTTGTGTGGTGTGGTTAAGGTGGCGGACCTGGGAGTTGGAGGCGCTCTTGCCGGTGGCGGAGGAGATGTTGAAGACGCGCTTGATGACGTTGGGGTCGACGGTGCCGCTGCCCCGCGCCTCGAGCGACCTGCGAGCGAACCTCTGCACTCCTGTGCGAACCGCCGCGAATGGAAGAGAATGCAGGAATGCAGGTCAGTCTCGTGAGAGTGAAGGTGGTGCCGTGATCCAGGAGCCGCGTGTGGGTCTCGTACTGGGGAAGTGGTTGATGCCACCGATGAAGTCGATGTGAGCGGCCACCTTCTGCGGCACGGTGTACGGCTGCAGCGACCTGCTCGAGACCATGAAACACGACACACGACATGGCACGACACACGACGCATGGCACGCAACACGCGCGACCAGGACGTGATGGTGAGTGTGCAGCGCAGAAAGTGGTGAAGGGAGTGGAATGGGACCTGAAGAGACGAGTCGAGGCTGAGTCGTGGGCGAAGTGGTGGAACTCGATGCCGCCGAGCAGCTCCTCGGCCTTGGCAGCCGTGGTGCGCACGCGCAGGAAGTCCCTGCTGCTGTTCCACTCGTAGTCGACCACGCCTGCATATTTCATCCATCCATCCATCCATCCATCACAAATTTGATGATCGATCCATTATTCGATTGTCGATGGAGGGTACCATGAGCTTCGAGCCACTGGAGGATGGTCTGCTGGGATGCGGGCGAGGGGGCGACGAGGGCGGCCACCTGCGCGGGCGTCAGGAAGCGGCCGTACGAGGGCGACGTCGGCTCGCTCACTGCCCAGAACCTACGTTTGATGATCTTATGAAGTCAGCGTCGGGCAACTGCTGGACGATCAAGGCCTCACCCAAAACAAATTCGTAAAAATCAAATCAACACTGACAAGAACGAAGATGACAAAGATCGAAGGACTTAAACTGACATTGATCAAATCGATTTGAGATGGAGTGAAGAAGACAAGCAGCTCTTACCTGCGCTCGAGCTCGGCAGTGTTGGTGAGCCGGACGGCGATGAGCAGTTCGACGATCTCCTCGGCAGCGAGGCGCTCGCCCTTGATCCAGCCCTCGGGCAGTCTCAGAGGCTCGTTGTGTTCCACGAACACTCTACCGCTGCCCATTGCAGCCGCGGCCAGAAGGCACGAAGCCAACACGGCCAGAAGCACAAAGCTTGACCTCGACATCATCATCATCAACCTTCTGTCGTGGCAGCAATACTGGAATCGTGTGGTCCCACAGACGCACTGACCGCCAAACCCCGAACCTTCGCTTTCATTTTCATTTCGGCGCTGCCAGTCTGGTGCCGTGCACGCCACTCGCCGTGTGCGTTGTGTGTCGTGTCGTGTCAAGCGTGTGCCTTTAAGTCGTGTCGAGTGCGTTGTGCTGGACGGTCAGCTCTAATCTACATCAAAACTGAGAAAACAGCACAGGCAAAGCAAGCGTTCAGAGCCTGCCGATGGTGGTGCACACCTCTAACAAAATCCTGGCGAGTCGTCGATTATCCTCTCTCTCACTTTCCTCTCCTCCTCTCCTCCGCATGCTGCGGCCATCAGCAGATAGTTGGCCTTTAGAATCGCTACGCTCTCTAGGCGCGGTGCATCGCGTTGACGAAGTTGAGGAACGTGTTCCAGTTGTTTTGGTTGTAGATCAGGTTGTTCGTCAGCCTGCAGCGCGCAAACATAGGAAGAGCGCCATGGGCGGTCGCGTGTCAGCTGGGTCGACACAGCGGTGTTGCGGTGACGGATGGAGGCGGCACGTACCTGAGGTAGGTGAAGCCGCTGATGGCGCCGTACTGGGTGGACTCCTTGATGATCTGCTGGAAGCCCGACTGGGAACACGACCCGCTACACAGCTCCAGCGCATTCTCTCCATCGTAGCCTGTCGCCGCCACTCCGTCACGTTAGTGTGCGTGTGCCGTGGTGTGTTGCGTGCGGTGTGTGCGGTGTGTGCGGTATGATAGCGTACCGACGTGAGCGATCTGAGCGGCGAGAATGGTCTGCTTGACGAGCGTCTCGGGGGCCGAGCCGCAATTGTTTGGGGAGTTGACCATCTCGAGAGCGGTGAAGTCAAAGTTGGCCCCGTACTTGCTGAACACTTGCGCAATCTGTCCAACATCAACACAGCACCATGAGCCAATCGTCGTGCGTCGTGTGTCGTGAGTGAGTATGTGCAGTGGTGTGCGTATGTGTTGTGAGATCGCACCTTGAGGTAGCCATTGTTGCCGTTGGTGTTGTAGTAACCGGCAGTAAGCTCCGCAGCGTGCGAGTTGGTGTTGTACCACCAGTGGATGCCCGACACCTTACCGGCGATACTGAGACCGGAGTAGCGGCTAAAGATCTGCCTGGCCGACTTCAAGATCGAGTCTGAGTGGTTCAACAGCTTGTTGCTGTACCAGTCTGCATTATCGTGTGCCATTGAAGATATCGATTCAGTGTGTCAGACAGCGCAGACGCGGGGGCGTATACACTGAGGGAATAGGGGGTTGATGGTTGGGGGAACACGCACTCAGGAAGAAGCGGCCGTACGGCGACGAATAGTTGTCGCCGCCGTTATCGGAGAAGAAGCCCGTGTCCTCGGGATTCGAGTCGTAGGTGCCTGTATGCGCGGAGACCAGTCAGTCCGAGTTGGAACACAACAAGCAGAGTTCAATTAACACGTTGGCGAGTGCGGGGCGTACCGGCGTTGTCCGGCCCGCCGTTGCCCCAGTCAGGGTGGCCGGCGGCGATGGCGGCCTGGTCGAGGTCAGCCAGCATGTACTTATCGTAGCACTGGAATCTGCTCATCGGTCATCGGTGGGCGCCAGCCAGGTCAGGTTTCGACAATGCGTTGAGTGAGCAAAAGACGAAGGGAATGTATGCGTACTCTCCGACACCGCAGTAAGACCACTTGCTCAGCTGGTAGCTCGGGTAACGCAGCTCACCTGCACTCCACCCATTAGAACACGCAACACACGCAACACACGCACACATCGCGCGCCGATGAGGCCGTAGGCAGATGCGCACCAGCGGGACCCATGCCGACTTGGATCTGGTTGATGGTGCCCTTCTGCAGGAAGACGCGGAAGGTCTGTTCGAGGCTCGACATGTAGTCGGCGTACACCTGGAGCGCAGTGCGCCCGTTCAGCACTGGCTGGTAGTCTACGCCGAGCGACAGGTACTCGTCGTCCGCGCCACCTTCGCGATCGCGGTAGTAGATGTCGGCTGCAGACGCAACACACGCATAGTCACGTGAACACACGTACGCACGCAGTACCGCAAACATACACACACAACCGTAGGAGACGTACGGTTCGCCTGGCCGATGCTGAGGACCCACGGAGGCAGCGGGATGAAGCACTGGTCGCCCACGTTGGTGCCGCATTGGTCTGTGGGCGAGCAAACAGGTGAGTTGTGAATTTGTAAGACACCTATTGGAGAAACACGCGAAGGGAAATGTGGGGAAAGGTTGGCGTACGGAAGGAGGTCACGAATTGGATCTTGAGTCCGACCTGGTCGACGATGTCGACCAGCTGGAGGTAGGAGGTCCAGTTGTACCTCCTCGGCCCGGCGCGCTCAACCACGCCCCACCACACGTCCACCATAACACTGTGCCCACAACACGGCACGCACACGGCACACCACACGTAAGGCACGCACGCAGGGAAATCACACGCGGTCCAGGTTAGGCGCGTTAATGGCGAGGAACGGAGAGAAAACGGAGAGGAAAGGTTTTCCGAACCCGTCGACGCCGCCGTTCTTGAGCTGCTGCAGGTCCTGGCGGATGCCTTGCGGGTCGTTCAGCGCGCCGTCGTTCGTGATCGTGTCCAGCGGCATCATCACTGTGACCCACGCCGCCGTGGTGAGTGGGATCGGCCACAACACAACATATATTAGAATTTAAAAGACTATGAGCGAAACATGTTCTCATTTCTTCCCTGGAGCTAAAAAGTACCACAGCAGCACACGGTGTTTGGTAATTTGCCACGGCTTACCCGTGCGTTCCACCACAACCAACCCAAAATAATAAAACAATAAATAATAACACCATTATTATAGGAAAATAAATAACTAAATATTTTTTAAAATAAGATTCAGTGGTGCGGGGACGTACGGTTGACTGGGATGTAGGCGTGCATAGCCGCTACGCAAAGGGCCAGCACCAAAAACAAGGCGGCCGAAGAGGTGACCCCACAAGAACGCGCCATGGTCTTTGCTTAGGTTATGGTGCGGAGCTTGTGCGAGTGTGAGCGAAGAAAAAGAAGAACCAAACACAGTGTTTGTCGCCTGCCGACTGTGCGACTTGCGCTCTCTCTGTGTGTGGATGTTATCTCGCTCTACTGTCTTCTCGAGGCGCAATTCGAAACGACAATCGAGGATTGCATATCCTGTCGACTCTACCGAAATTCCCCCTTTATTTATGTCGACTAGCCAACCTCAGCCTTGCCAAGGGTAGAGCGGCTTCTTTGGCCCGGCGGGCTGCGCGGTGGTGGGCGTGGCTTGCTGGGGGTTCTGGGTCGACTCGTGCATGTAGTCGAGGATGTAGTACGACACCTTTTCGACGCGCGGCTCGTGCATGCTCTCGTAGTCGGTGTAGAAGCTGCGGACCGACGGGAATCCTCGCTTCTTGAGCACGAACAAGAGCGGCTTGTAGCGTTCCTTCTCGCACTCCCTGGTAGCACCGCCATCAACACCGCCATCAACACCACCATCGACTATAAGTGTGATCGTCTTCTTCTTCTTTTTTCCTTCACCTCGCGTCAAGGGTGGTCCATAAGTGACGTACCTGGCCCAGTCCTTCATGGACGGGAAGAGTCGGTTGAGTTGGGTGTAGCGCATGTCCACCTGCAGACACGTCTCGACGAAGGTGGCCTTGACGGCCAGGTAGTCGGCCCGGTACTGCTCATGGAGCTCCAGGAACCTCTCCTCCTCGTGATCTCGCTCTGTCTCCTCCTTCTCTTCTTGTTCGTCTGGTTGTTCTTCTTGATCAGCTTCTTCTTCTTCTTGTTCGTCGCTGGTGGTGCCGGGAGATGTCGATGCTGACGTGGCAGTAGTGGCGCTGGGCGTCGTCTGCAGGTCGCCATCGCCGCCAGCGGCCGGCGCCCTGCGCTGCAGGCGGAGCCGCTTCCACTTCCCCTTCTCGCCGCGCCGCGTTCGGGTCTGCTGCCGCGAGCGCCACTGCATGAAGAGCAGCACGAGCTCGAACAGGCAGCGCTCACGCTCCTTGGCAAAGTCGATCTCGCCCTCGCCGCCCTCCTCATCGTCCCAGTCGCCCTCCAGCTCCCACGCCTCCAGGGCGCGCAGCTTGGCCAGCCACAGATAGGCCGGCGACGAGAGCACCACGCGCCGGCAGGATGACGCCGACATCATGGCCAAGGCGTCGACGTTGTCACGGACTGGGGCGCGCGGTCGCTAATGACGAGGCCCTTGAACGATAGCGGCGACTGCCTGCGCACCTTGCGCACCATCGACTCCTGATCGCGGAGATTCGGGAAGCGCTGTGGCGTGCGCCAGCCAACGGCGGTGGCGGCGTTGTCGTGGCTGCCTTCACCGTTCGAGCAAAATGCGGTGGAGGCTGCGCCGGCTGACGATTGACTGGCGAGGGCATGGTCGAGGTTGACTTCCCGGCCGAGGGGAGAAGAGCCGAAGTCGCGCACACCCACCAGGACCAGCGCATCTTCCTTGTACTTCATGAAGCGTGGGAACTGCCTGCTGACCTGGAAACACCACATATTTGCCGTGGTAAGCGTGGACGTCTCTTGCACGCACTACACACAACAAACGAACTAAGCGAGTACCAGTTGGAAGATATAGCACCACGAGGTGTTCAGAGACTTGTCAGTGATGCCTGGTGAGGGGGAAGAAGGGTTCAATCAAGCAGGGTTTGGTAAGCGCGTGGGCGGCGCCTAGGTTGATGATACCTTGGGCTGCGTACAGGCGCCAGAACTCCTTCATCAGATCTTCTCGGCTGGTGTCCTTCCTGGTCTTCATCTGGACGCACCACTTGCCGCTGTCGATCCCACGCATACGCACACGCACACGCACACGTAACCACAACTGAGCGTTGAGTTGCTTGGAGAGAAGTGGCTGCTCAAGAAGGGGGTACCTGTGGTAGAAGAGCAGGCCCAGATGCCCGTCGATCATTTCCCGTGCCTCGGCAGAAGACCAGTCAATGTCACTCTGTGTGTGGCGAAGAAGGAAAGGCGTTGGAGAGCGCAGCACACCACTAAGGTGGCGGCGAGGTAGTGGTGCAACGAGCGGGCGTACCAGGTCTTCGATGCCGACCTGCTTGGCCTTGATGATGGTCCACACCTCGTCCTCCTCCACTCTCTTCTTGTCGCTGCCGTGGAACGGATAGAGATGTCGGTAGCGCGGGAAGGCCTGGGCGATGGGCCGCCACGATGGTGAGCCTCTGGCGCCCGGGCTGCAGCTTCGGGCCAACACGAGCCCGCCGTGGCACTCGAACGTGATGCGCGAGCTCGCCGGCGAGCCCACCTTGTCGCTCGACAGCACCATGAGCTCCTCGGTGCCATCGCCCGCCACAATTTTGTCGATATCGTTGCCGCCCACTGCGCTCACCTCGCCGCTGTCGTTCACCAACTCGACGTTGACATCGAGATTCTTGACCAGCTCGCCGAAGCCGTTCTGGTTGACGTAGCTAACCGCGACCAAGCGGTGATCGTCACCCGAGTCCTCGGGCGTGGCGTTGGCCTGTTGCCACCAGTCGAGCTCGAATTGCTTGTAGGACTGGGTGAGCTCCTTAAGCGCGGTCTCCACCGCGTCGGCGTACTCGCGGTACCACTGGTGGAACGCCTTCCAGTTGGGGAAGTGCATGCTCATGAGCGACAACGCCAGGTCGTTGACCACATGCCTGTCCGTCACCTGGACGATCACATAGCAACAATATATAATAAGACGGCAACATCCGATTGGAGGAGCCAGTGTTGGGGTGAAAGTGTCATTGTTACCTTTTGGGTCTTGGCCATCTGCAGGGAGAGCGCCCAGTGCTTGACCACGTAGATGAAGCGCTTCTTGGACCGCTTGATCTCCCCGTACTGCCAATACTGCTTGGCTATGTTGTAGTTCTTGAACATGTTCTTCCGAACACCACCGAGCCACTGCATAAATGTATATAAACATACATACATTGCATCATATATGTACGCCACGTTCAGTTCAAAGCGCACAGAATGGCATCGTACGGCCATGCAATGCTACATTGAAGGGAATGTAAACCTTGTGAGCTCGAAACTCCCAGTGCAGCTTGTGGCGTTCGAGCAGAATGCCCTCGGGCGGGTGCGAGAGAAACACGCAGGTCTGGCGACGTGGCCAGCCGGTTAGTTTCGAATGGCGTGTGCAAGCTCAGCACTGCGGCCTAGCAGTTGCGTGAGTACCCAGGGCACGTGCTGGTTGATGAGTTGTTGGAAGATGTTGACGTCGTACACGGCCATGTCGATTTCCTCCCCTTCGAGGACGTTCTGGGTGGACGGCTGGTCCCAGTCCCGCACTGGGACCATTGTGCGTGCGTGCGTGTGTGAGTTGGGCGACACGCCTGCGCAGCGCGTGGGTGCATGGTGGTCCGTGCTACTACTACGCACCCAGAACAATGAAGTCGTAGTCTGATCGCGGCGAGTAGTGGCCCCACCATCTGGAGCCCCACCTGTACACATTCAGCACCTGTCGGGTGCACGGCCCGGTCAGCCCGCAAAACAAAATTAAAATAATATTCAAAACAACTTGTAGTACATAAAATATCTATAAAAATATAAAAAAATAAATACGTACTTGGTCTGGTTCGATGCCGTGGGCGGAGAGCACCCCATAGATTCGCCCCATGAACAGCTTCTGCTTCTTCTCGCTCCATGCTCCTCGCTCATCGTCTTCTTCATTGGCGATGCCCTTCTCTGCGATCCGTCGCTCGCAGTTGTTCAGGGCCTCGTCGAGGAGCTGCAGCCGCACGAGCATGGCCTCCTGCCTCGCGTGCAGCTCGTTGGCTGCGGCCCGCTGGGCCTTGAGCAGCGCCACCATCTCCTTGGCCCGCTCGGCCTCCTCCTTTGTCTTGCCCCCCTTGGACGTCCCGTGGCCACCACCTCCCCCTCCACCTCCGCCATGTAGCAGCTGGTGGCGGTGGTCGGCCTTGTGCCGGTTGTCGAGGCAGATGGCGTGTCGTTTGCTGACGAAGTGGCGCGCCTTCTCCTGGGCGCTCCCGAACGTGGCCCCCTCGCACACGTCGCAGTGCCACCGTGCCGGCGGCGACGGCTCGTCCATGCCAAAGAAGAAGACAACAATAATAGATATATAAAACAAAAACAAAGTTTATCTTTGTTTCAGCAAATCTTTTCCTTTCTTTTTCTCAGCTGTGTGATTGATTTGATCCATCTGGAGTGAGAGAAGATGCCGAAGGTGATTTCGCGAGGTACCACCGTCTCGAGCGGTAACGAGACTCAATTCACGGACGAGAATATCTTTGTTTACTACTGCGTGTGTGGCACGCTCTGCCTTACAATTGGTACGCTCCCCCCCCCAACGAATCCAGAAAACACATCAATCCTCTTGTTCAAATAAGTCAACTCCATCTCCTTCTTCATCTTCTTCATTGAATGATTTAACTTTACCTGGATCCAGATACGCCGTTGGAGAAGCTGCCGCGCAGGAAGACGGACAATGCGCACATCATCCAGGCGGGCAAGCGCGAGTACCGCTTCAAGACCAAGCCGCTCGAGCCCGTCACCTTCAAGCGGTACCTCTACACGCGACAATTGACGTCGCACGCAACACGCGACACACAACACGCGACACGCACACCAGCTCTCAGCTCATAGGACAATGTTGCGTGTATGTGCTGCCGTGGTTGTGATGGAGCTGTGGGTGGTGATCGTGGCGCAGGGACAAGGGCTACGAGAAGCAGTTCAGGGCCGGGTGCGAGGAGTGCGGCCTGCCCGTGTGCTACACCCCCAAGGAGAAGAGCAGCCCCATCACCTACGTCCTCGCCGGCGCTCTTCGCCTCCAGCAATACGGCCTGACCACCGGTGCGTGTGCGATGTCTGTCGTGTGCGTGCGTGCGTGCGTGTGCGGTGGTGTGTGTCGTGCGACTGACCCGCGTGTGTGCGGTGATGCGTGCGTGTGCGACACAGATCCGTTGCCGCTCGAGGAGATAAAGGAGCTGCCGGGCGTGGAGTACGACGAGTACGTGGCCGAGCAGCGCAAGGAAAAGCTGCGCGAGGAGGAAGAGGAGGGCGACGCCGCCACCCGCGCCCCGCTCCGGCTCAGCGACCTCCCGCGCCAGGAGCAGGAGCGCCAGATCCGCGAAAAGCTCAAGGCCCTCGAACGCGGCGACGACACGCGTCTCAGCTCGCTGGCGTCGTCTTCGTCATCGACAGCTCCGTCGCAACCGGCCGCTGCGCCGAGCGAGGAGCGGGACAGGGAGAGGAAAAGGAGCCGAGAGAGGGAGAGCACCGGAGACAGGGAGGAGGCCGAGGGCAAGGAGAGGCAGACCAGGCGGAGCAGGAGTCCCGAGGAGAAGCGACGCCGGAGGAGCCGCAGCAACAGCAGGGAGAGGGACTACCACGACAGCGGCAGGCACTGAGCTGGCTGGCGACATACAACATAGTCGGAGATGCGGAAGACGTTGCTACATACTGTCCGTTTTGATGCGGACCAGGCAACAGGCTTAATGTGTGTTACTGGTGTGTTGGTGTCCACGCAAGGCCTTTTTCCACACAGAGCGAAGAAGAAGAACACGACGAGATGCAGGTGCAGGCCCTGACGAAAACATTTGTGGTGGTGGTGGTGCTAGCCCTGCTGGTGGGCCTGATGGCCCTGACCGTATCGGGGGCGCGCGACTGTCAAGGTAGGGTGGGCTCCTCCTCCTACGACCTCGCTCCGCTGGAGAGGGAGCTTCGTGGGCAGGACGTCACCGCCAGCGGGGCGGGCAACACCTACTACTACTCCGTGTGCGGCGTGGTGAGCAACACGGTCTGCCAAACGAGCACCGACAATGTCCCGGCCGTATGCCAGCGGGACATTGTGGGCCAGTACCTCGACTGCGGCAGCCAGCGCACAGCGCGTTTCGAGCAGCTGCCGGGCGGAGGCGAGTCGGACGGCTTCAGCCTCTCCTTCTCCGGTGGTCGGGATGGTCGTGAGTCCCGCATCCTCTTCAAGTGGTACATCTTCAACCATTCGGTTGTTTGGCAAAATGGAACTTAAGTTTAATGTGATGTGCATTGTTGCGTGCAGCGACCCGAACGCGCGGGGCTCGTTCTCGTTTGTGAAAGAGGACCCGGTGCTGACCTACACCCTGCAATACGTGTCCAAGTACGCCTGCCCGACGAACCGCCAGCCCAGCGGTACCCCCCCTATCACCCCAAAAACCTGCGATTCCTCTTCATTCGCCTGATTTTATTCGTGGTTGTTTCTGGTTGGTTGGTTTTGTAGGCCCGGATACTGTCACGCTGTGCGGCTGCAGCACGAGCTGCAGGAACTGTGTGGACTACCCGCTGGGCCAGTGCATGCCGGTGATCCCCATGTGCACCGGCCAAGATGCCGGCTTCGTGCGCGTCGACCAGCAGTCCAGCACGCAGTTCCTCATCAGCGGCTTTCTCGACAGCACCTGCTCGCTGCCCCTCGTCCAAGCGGTGACGAGCTGCAGCCAGTGCAACGGAGCAGTCCTGGCCCTGTGCGGCTCGTCGCGCGGCGGTCTGCCCGGGTGGGGCATCGCTTTGATCGTGGTGTGCTCGCTGCTCGGTGCCCTGGTGCTCGCGCTGGGGGCAGCAGTGGCCTGTCTGGTGTACAGCCGCCACCGCCGCTCCCGCGCTCTGCCCGGCTACCGACCCGCCGAGGTGAGCCTCCAGGTCCAGGAAGCGGAAGCTTTGGTGGTTGAAGATGCAGTTAAGCAATGAAAGGTGGATTCGTTCTTTACCGATCAGCGCGAGAGATGGTGATGTGATGCATCACATGATTACAAGTTAAAGCAGTTCTACAAAGTGGCTGGGGAAGTAGCCCGTCGTCTTGTTGCACTCGCCGTACCACCACCCATCGCCCTGCGCACACGAATTAGCCGATGATGGTGAGGAGGAGGAGGATGATGATGGGTCGGTGGTGGAATCTACCTTTTCCTCGTCTTTTTCGAATACAGTGACGACGTCTCCCTCCTTGAGATCGATCTGGAAGGCCTCCTTGTCCTGCGGTGGGTTGCCGGTCAGGTGGCGTGTTCAAAGAGGCAAGGCAAGAAGGTAGTGGTGGTGGCGCGCACCCCAACAAAATCAAAGAGGGCCTTGGCGATCGGGTGTTGCGTGGAGAGGGGCAGCGGCACGTTGAAGTTGGTGCCCAGCGACGACACCGAGAGCGAGCGTGCCGACGGAGAGGCCGCAAGCATCGGCGGACCACTGGCGGCCGGCTCCGAAGCCTTCTGCGCGGCGGGAGGTGACGGCGATGAAGAAGCCGACGGCGTCGTTGAGGATGCAGCCTGTGCGGCGGCAGAAGCGGCCGCGAAGGTCTGTGCGCCGCCGCCAGACGGGAGAGACGGCAGCGGTCGGTTGGGCGCCGTATTGTAGGAGGAGAGCGCACGCACGCGTCGTTTGGGCGTGCCCGATGGAGAGCTGGAGGACAGCGATGCGGACAGTCCCGTTGGTGGCGATGATGCCGGCGACGAGTCGGCTGACGCTGAGAAGCGCGCGCATGCGGGGGAAGAAGGCGTAGAGGAGATGGCGGGGAAGGAACCGGATGAAGGCGAGTGGGTGACGGCGGACCCGGTGGTGAAGCCGACCGAAGGCAAGGCCGCGCTGGGGGTGCGGGGTCGAGACCGATCGCCGGCGGGCTCGTAGTGAGACGTGGTACCGCCGCGCAGCGCGCCGCTCACCGTGTTCGCGTGGCCTGTCCGCGTCGGGGACGCCTCGATGGGCGAAGACACGGCAATGTCACTCGTCGGGCCGCCCTTGAATCGTTCGCCCGTGGACGCTTTCCGCCGCAGAACGCCCAATATTCCACCGCCGCTGCTGCTGTCATCGCCCAGCTTGCTGGTCCTTCGCTCGAGGGGAGCAGTGGCCGGCAGTGATGACGACGAACCCGAGGGCGACGGCGGACCGCTGCTGGTGGTGCCGTGCGGTGTCGACAGTGAGAGCGAGGACGAGGGCGGCGGAGAAATAGTAGTGCTCCCGAGACGCTTCTTCTTGTCCGATTGGCTCAGCGGCGGCGCCGATCGGTTCATGCTGCCTCCGGCCTCATTGTTGTGCCGTGGCGACGTAGAGCCCTCATCGCCGCTGTTGCTATGGTCGTCGAGCGCCGCGTGCTTCCGGAGGCCGAAGCCCTTGAAGGCAGCCGGCAGGGTCTGGCTGCTGCGGATCACGCTGGCGCCCCCGACAGTGCTGCCGCCGTCCGAGTGTCTAAGCTTGGGAGTCAATGGCTCGGCGGCCGCGCACTCGGCTATCGCGCTCATCCATTCCTTCTTCGTTTCGGCCGAATCGATGCAGATGACGACTCGAAGCTGCTTCGCTTGATATGTCAACGACAGCGCGTTCTTCACCGCTTTGCCTGAAAGGAGAGACGATTCGTTCGAGTTCGGGTGAGCTACGTGCACAGAAAATTCAGCCTTTTGGGGAGGAAACGAGGAGCGGGGTCGGTACCGCCTTCGAGGGCTCCGTCGGTGACGTCCTGCACGCGGCACTGGGATATGGGGATGTAGTGGTGGTAGCCATACTTCTTCTTCTCCGCATGGCACAAGAGGATGAGGTCGCTGAACAGGAGGACCGTCCGCTTGAACATCTTTTCCTTGTTGAACGACATCTTGAAGAGGCCCTCTCGTTTGAAGACTCGCTCCTCGTCAAGCGTGAGATCCAATCGCTGCGCGCACCACACGTGAAGCAACGTTAGCGCAGGGCCAGAGACATGGGAGATAACACGAGTACGCACCTCTTCGTCGTCGCGGTAGACGAGGTTGTCGCTAATCTGCTTGATGAGCATCTTGCTATCAATCACCCGCTTCTTCTCATTAGCTACGTTGATGAGGACCTCCAGCTTGTCGCGGGCCTTCGCAATGTCCGGGTAGTCGGGATGATCCTCCGGCGTCACCCCCATCAGCTCCTACACAGAGAAAGAGGCAAAGGGTCAATCAATATCACGCCGCCATTGTGCGTGCATCGTCCAGGCATACGTACTCGCAGAAGTAGTGGATACTTCGTGATTCGCTGGAAGGGCTTGATGAGCAGCGCATCAATCGATAGCTTCTTGCAGTCCTTGTGCTTTTGGGCAGCCTACACGGGGGAAGTCCGATTGAGTTCGATTCGCACGTGCGTTCAGGTGACAGTTTCGGTCGTACCTCGCAGAAGCTTCGGAAGGCCTTGTGAGAGTGGAGTGCTTCCTGTAGGGCATCGGTGGCGATCTGCTGATGTACGCACACCTCTTCATACTTCTGCAGGTCTTCCATCTGCGTAGGGATGTGATCGTCAATTGTGGGTGTGGTGCGTTCGCATGTATAAGGCGGACGTACGCGGTTGAGGAAAACCTGGCCGAAGTACTGGGGATCGGCCAATTGGCAAAGCTGCAAGGCGCGGCTCATCTTATCACTCGCCTCTTTGATCTCCTCGATGTTACCGAATATGTCTTCGATTTGCCACTCCATGAGACCTTCATCAGTGTTCATGACGGTCTTCAACGGGTTCACGTAGACCTGCGCGAGAAGTGCGCGCTTTAGCATTTGACCCACGCGAAAACGAAAAGAGTGAGGATGCACCTTGATGATGATGCCCAAGTCGTTCGCGTATTCTCGTTCTGTCTCGACCAGCTCATCAATGACTCGCTTACGTTTGTACTCTCGCTTTTCTTCGTCTGTCATTCCAGCAATGTCGAGGCTCGTCGCCTTTCCTAGAAGTCACAAATGATCAATGGTCAGAATTGAATGAATCATAGTGGCCCACAGGATACCTCGACGCTCACACTACAAACAAACAAAGGAGGGCAACGTACTCTGTATAATTTCGTACACCTCCTTGCCCTGCCCCGAGGAAAGGAGCTTCGCGGATTCGAGCGGCGTGCCGTTGGTGGCCGAACCCACTCGCGGGTCGATGCCGAGATCCAAAATTTTGTCGACCATGTCCTTCTTCTGGGAGATGATGGCGTAGTGGAGAACGTTCTCGTTGTATCTGGAATAGTGACAGTACGGCATTAGTTGCGCCCAAGAAAAAGGAGAGGGCTGGATCGTGTTGACGCGTACCGGTTCGTTAGCGTTAGATCGGGGTCCTTGCTCAGCAGAAGCTGGACCATGAGGAGGTTGCCCTGGAGGATGGCGTTATGCAGGGGAGTCTCGCCATACTTGTTTGGCGCATTGATGTCGGCGCCGAATTTCATCAAGTAGTCGAGCCCCTTCTCGTTCGAGACCACGGACTCGGGCAAGAGCGCTCGTCGGGCAAAGTAGTGAATGGGCTTCATTCCGTCGTTGCTTGATCGCGACACGTCGGCTCCCTTGACAACTGCAGGTGCACGTCAGTCATGACCAAAGTAAACGCGACACTTGGGTTGTGTGGTTTGTGTGTACCCAGGATAACGACGGTCTCTGCGTCGTTGTTCTTTTTGCACGCATAGTGGAGAGGCGTGCACCCGTTGTTGTCGACGCAGTTGATGTCGGTCGGGTTGTTGGCGATGAGGTACTCGATCATCTCTCGATTGGGCTCCGATTGGTTGCACGCCAAGTGCAGCAGACACCGGCCCGCAGAGTTCCTGGCTTTCAACTCCTCCTCGGTAACTCGGAGCACGACCTTCTGCTTCTCCTCGGATCCGTAGAGCTTCTTGATTTCGTTCCAGTCGCCCGCTTTTGTCAGCGACCACAAGTCTGTCTTCTTGTCTGTTTCCGCAACCTCGTCCGCCTCGTCTTCAATCGCTGGTCCTGTTCAGTTCCATGACGCATGCAAGAGAGTGAGCATTACAACGCCATTATCCAAGCGGCTGTTAACGTACGAGTAAGGAGTTCGTAGATCTTCTTGCCGGCAGCAGAGGTGTCCTTCTTGGCCAGGTCCAGTGGACTGCCGTTCAGGCTGTTCGGCGCGCTCAAGGTGGGATCCATCCCCATCCGCAGCAGTTTGCTGATCATGTCCAACTTCTGGCACAGCACCGCATTGTGGAGTACGTTGTCGCCGACTCTGTCGAAGCGTACTCCGTGCGTAAGTGGTGCATCTCATCGTACATGAGCTGGAGAGAAAGAGGAAGAGCTACGCACTTATTTACAGCGTTGATGTCAGCGCTTCTGTTGATGAGCAGCTCGAGCGTTGCGAGGTTGCCTTTCATCACGCAGCTGTGGAGGGGCGTTTCGTCGTTCACGTTTCTGACGTTGAGGTCCGCACCGGCGGTAAGCATGACGTCAAGTGCCTGTACGATACAATTGATAAGAAACAGCCATTCAATGCGTGCTTCAAAAATCTCGCGAGATTTGTCTGGGGGGGGCTGTACTCGCGCATTGGATTCAAGCGTCTCCGGCTGCAAGCGCTTGCGAGCAAAGTAGTGCAACGGTCTCGTGCCATCCGTGTTGGCGATGTTCACGTCGGCCCCGTGGCTCACTGGATAGAGAAGTTCCAACGATTTAAGAATCTGAAGAAGAAAAGGCAGGAAAAAACAAAGGCGTACCAAGGAGAGGGATGAGGTGGCCCGTCTCGTCAAATCGACAGGCGGCGTGTAGAGGAGTCCATCCAGCTTTGTCGGTAGCGTTCACGTCGTCCCCGAGGGAGATGAGGTACGCCACGACTTCGATATTGCCTCTGTCCAGACTGCAGGCAGCGTGTAGCGGGGTGTGGCCGTCGTTGTTGCGAAGGTTCACTTCCTCGTCGGTGAAGCGATGCTTCTTCATCTCGACCAGATTGCTTGTTCGCACCAGCTGATGGATGTCCACCTTGGTCATAGGGCGCGTTGGAGCGTTCTTAGTGAGCTGTGAGTCGCTCGAGTCGTTCACCAGCACCGGACCCCCGATGATCTGCTTGTCCGCAGCTTTGCTCCCGCTCTTCTTGCTGGAGGACGAAGAAGATGCGAGCTTGTCCTTCCCCCTCTTGCCCACAGCTCTCAACGTCTTGAACATAGTGAAGATGAGAGGCGATGGAAAGGCGAGTGATGGACAGAGATGGAGAGATGGGTGGTCGAGTAGACTTCCTCTGACTTCTCACCTTTCCGAAATCGCTTTGTCGGCTCCTCTATCACACGGTGTTCCCTCGCCACCTTACCTCCTCATTCCACTTCTTCTCGACTACTCCCCCCTTGAGCCGTTATCAAGTTGTCTCCTCCGTTAGTCCTATCTCCTCCCCCCCTCTTTTTAGAAGCCAGTTTTGTCGACCGCCGCTTCATCTGCACTATCCATTTTTAGGTTTTCGCTTCCATTTCCACCTTCAACGTGGCCAAGCACGCCGACCTTTGTGAAGGTCGTGGCCTGACCACGCTGGCCGTACATCACTCTTTTTCGCTCTTCCACTACCTTTGTTTGCTCCCTACCACAAGACGCCTCGGGCGAGCACGGTGGGAACTCTGCTTTTGTGGCCAGCGGCAAGCACTGAAACTGTTTCGGTAAATCCAAATTGGTTCTGGAAACTTCCAGAAGGTTTTTGTTTCTTGGCCGAGAGGAGCAAGGAGAGAACACCACACAACACGAGGAGTCCTGCAACACATGCAGCAACCTACGGTGCCTCAACAAGTTGTGCAACACATCAAGCAAGGCCACAACGAAGCTCTGGCAGCCTATCTCGACAACGGCCTTGGACACAGTAACGTACGGGCCACTTGAACTCTTGGGGGGGGGATCGACGGCAGCAGCTCATTCACGTTGCTGTGTTCAGGTTAACTATGCTGTGGAGGGCTGCACCTATGGCGAAACACTCCTCCATTACGCTGCGTGGCATGGTAACGCGGAGGCCGTGGCCATGCTGGTCCGCCGCGGGGCGCGCATAGACGCGAAAGGGGTCCAGTCGGACTGTACTCCTCTGCACAGCGCAGCGGCAGGCGGTCATCTAGGTGCCTGTTGCTTCGTCATTGATCATGCCCCTCTTTTGCTTACATCTTTCTCCGAGATAGGCGTGGTGGCGTTGCTGCTCTCGCTTGGAGCAAGGTTGAACAGCTTCACACAGGCCGGGTGGTCACCTATGCACAGCTGCGCCCTTCGGTATGCTGTGTCCTCTGTCACATCCTTTTGTTTCCTTCGTAAGCTGGCTCATGAATGACCACAGAGGATACGAGAATGTTGCCTGGTATCTGGAGAAGCAAGGTCTGAGCCTGGATGACCGAACAGCCGAAGGGCGCTCTGCTCGAGATATGCTCAACCACGCACTTGGTACGTCCAAGTGCCAGTGTGCCGACCAACGGTGAACTGATGCCAATCATGTGTTTGTCATTTTGTAGCAGAGAAGAAACATAAGACTGCCACTCCCACCTCAGGACTGAGCGTGCAAGACCTTCTCGACGGGAGCAGCAACCTACGAATCCAGATCGCATCGGACACTCACGTTGAATTCTATGAGTCCTTTTCTCAAATCCCAGAGGTACCGTACCCCTCACATCATTCGCCATGTGTTTGCAATTGCTAACACACACCTCAGTTGATCACCCCATCAGCTCCCATACTGGGGCTGTTGGGCGACATTGGAAATCCTGCGCTCCCGACATACCGGGACTTCCTGTACCACCAGGCCACCCGATTCAAGCTGGTCCTCGTTCTGGCGGGCAACCACGAGTATTACAGTCCCAGTTCCGCGCCGCCACACCCCACCATGGGTACGCTCTACTCAGCTCGCCTTACTTTCCTCGTTACACTTCTGATTTGCTCCCGCTACATCGCAGGTGAGCTCAATCAGGCCATTTACGACATCTGTGCTGCTGCCCCGCGCAAGAACATAGTGTATCTTGATAAGGGACTGGTGGAGCTCGGAGAGTTCGTTATTATGGGGTGCATCCTCTGGTCAGATATCCCCGAGGACATGAAACAGCAGGCCGCCTCATCCATGAACGACTACCGGCTGATCTACAAAACCAGGCGCCAGTACTGTTTCCCCTTACCAGTCCACGCTCGCTCTGTGAACTAATGCACGGCACTCGTTAGCCTCAACTTCCCGGAGGCGGTGTTCTCCCCAGACGACAGTGTAGCTGCGCACAAGGATCAGCTGCAGTGGCTGCAGACCCAGATCCAGGCGTCGATGTCCAAGGGCAAGAAGGCCGTCGTGCTCACCCATCACACTCCCACCTACCGCATTCGAGGTACCTCGTGCCTAGCAAAACCAACTACCACGGATTTCCAACACTCTGCCTCGTTACAGGGAGTGGCTTGGCTTTTAGCTCGAGCCTCGAGTACATGTTCAAGAACAAGGGCACCAATGTGGCCGTCTGGGCTCACGGCCACACTCACTACAACGATGACAAGATCATTGGTACGCACACCATATCCAACTCAACTCTCATCATCCGACCTCCTGACAATACACCACACACAGAGGGAACGCGGGTGGTGAGCAACATGGTGGGCTACAAACACGGGAAGCAGCGCGACTACCGACCTGATCTCGTCATCACGGTGGCCAAGTGACTTCCTCCTGCTCAGCCCAAACGAATCCTCGAAATTACCCACCATCTTTTCAGTGCACACCGACGAACCAAAGAGACTTTTTAAAAAGTCGAAAAAATCAGTTCAACGCAAACAACAACACAAACCAACAATGGAGGGCACCACAACTCAAGAGGTCCTCCCCCTTTCTCGCCTCCTCGCGCGGCCTCACGCCAGCGTACTCACTTTCCGCGTTGTCAACGGTGCGCATGACTTTAGGAGACCAAGGGCGCCTGCGAGGCCCTGGGCGACCGCATGAAGGCCTACGAGCGCGAGACCAACATGCGACTCGACCCCACCAAGCCCTGGATCGGTACCCCTTCCCGTCACCGGGTTCTTTTCTTTTTCTTTTTATATTTTATTATTGATTTTTTACTATCGTTATTGTGCTTGTTGGCTGACCTCCTGGACGCTTCCCAGTGCGCCTGGATGGCCACAAGTTTTCCAAGTTCACCAAGTCCTTCACGAGACCCTACGACGTCAGGAGTACGAACTCCCATCTCTCTTCACCCATTTTATATTTAATTATTTAATTTAATTTTTACTGCTGCTTACGACCAACAGTTCACGAGGCCATGCTGGAGACCGCCAAGGAGCTCCTGAAGCACTTCAACCCCGTGGCTGTCTTCACCTGTTCCGACGAGATCACCCTGGTCTTCCCCGCCACCGTCCCCCAGCCCGGCGAGGAGATCGAGCCTGTCGAGCCCAAGAAGGGCGATCCCCAGAACGACATGCCCTTCGGCGGCAAGATCCAGAAGGTTGGTGTCACACCCAACAACAAACAACCCCTTCACCACTTGCAAGGGCTGACACATGCCTTGTACACTCGTATTGCTGCGCTCAACAGATCAGCTCTCTGCTCGCTGGCTTCGCGACTGCGCAGTTCACCGCTGCCCTCAAGGCCGGGACCTACGACGCCGAGAAGGAGCCCAAGGCACGTGTTGCCTTGAGATGGCAACAATTCTTTTCGTTCACCGCCAGATCAGCTGAATTCTAACTTTCCTGTCGTCTTCGTTTTCTACAGCTGACCGAACACGTCAAGACCTCGCTGCCTTACTTCGATGCTCGCGCGCATAACGTGCCCACCAACGCTGAAGCCTTCGTACCAACGCCCCTCTGCCACTGGGGAAAGCTCTGTACTCACATATTCACAATATGTGGCACACACAACACAACACAACACAACACAACATAACACAACACAACACAACACAGAACAACGTTTACTGGAGGGCGCGATACGATTACCGCCGCAACAGCATCGCCGGCCTGGCGCAGCACCACTTCGCACACAAGGAGCTGCAGGGTCTCAGCACCACGCAGCAGTTGGCCAAGCTGCTCGGCGAGAAGAGCATCGACTGGAACGACTGCCCTGCGTGGTACAAGTTCGGCACCCTGGTCAAGCGCGAGTCCTACCTGCTCCGCACCACCACGCCCAAGGGCGACGAGGTCGAAGCCACCCGCACACGGTACACCTTCACCTTCATGCCAGCCGCGATTCAGCTCAAGTGTCCGAGCGTCGATGGCTCATCTCTTGTCGACATGTAGGGTGGTGTCGCTTCCCTTCACTCTGGACACCTTCTCGGGCGAGAACGTGCGCACGCTGCTGTGCAAGACCCTCAAGGGCGACGACGTGAAGGCCAAGGAGGCCGCGACCTCCTCCTCCTCCTCTTCCAGCTGAACTACGCTCTTCTCTTTTTGCCAAATTCATCACCTAAAGCTGTCCCATCTATAATCTGAGAAATGCGAACGTAACGTGCTGGCGAACAACCATCAGCTGAGCGTGACCTGTGTTCGAGTGCGCTCTGGCGTCCATCAGCTGTCGACAGTTGCCCCAATCCGCAAAAATGAAGGCCAATTTTTAACCAAGGGGCCAACCACGACCTTGCGGCTAGGCACCAAGGGCGCCAAGGTGGCACCTCCTCTTCAAAGAAGAAACGCCTGCACACACAGAACAGATCTGCTGCCGGAGACGAGTGGACCAAACTTGCGGCCCAGCCTCGCCTCCTTCGTTCAAAAGAGTTTGAAGCACTGAGTGTGATGTCGTTCAACATGAAGAAGGCGGGAGAAAAACTTAAAATCTCGGCGGGGGTGGCGGGGGATAAGATGCGCATCCTATCCCAAACGATGAAGGAGAAGACTTCCAACGTGCCCGTATCGGACACCATCAACCCTGAAATCGTGCAGCTTCACAACGTGCCACTTCCCCCCTTTCGCTCCCCCTTTTCCGTTTTCGTTCTTTTATTATCAAATAATTAATAATATTTGAAAAAATATGAAAGGCTATTTCTTTTTTATACCTCTTTTAATATTCATAAATATATTAAACTCGTGGCCTTTGGCAGTCGATCCGAACGACGAACCAAAACCTCAAGATCATGCAGAAGGCCTCCAAGCAGGCGGCCGCCTCCTTTGAAGGTTCCTCATCTCCATCTCCATCTCCTCTTCCTCCTCTGCATATCCCACGCGTTGGTATTGCCAGGCGGCGAGCCCCTCCGCTGAGTGGCTGGATTTATTAATTGCTTTTATCGCCACCTGTGTCTGACCCGGCGTCGGCGTCGGTGGTGTGCGAGTGCAGACTTCAAGCGGGCGGAGATGTCGATCGCCTCGGCCCTCGGCACCTTGGGGACCACCGAATCGGCGCCCCTATCCAACCTCTGCAGCGACCTCTCCGCCGTCATCAGCCGCCTCTCTGGTCTCCTCGATATGGTATACCGCCCAGTCACGACCGTGTGCGCGTGCGTGTGCGGTGCGTGTGCGTGTGCGGTGGTGCGTGTGCGTGTGCGTGTGCGTGTGCTGTGTGTACTCAACTCCACACCACTCGTACAGAAAGCCAAGGACATGTCCAGAGTGGAGATCCCGATCACCCAGTTCCAGACGACCCAGATCAAAACGGCCAAGGTAGCCATTTTTCCCTTTTCGACTGGTGTGGCTGGATCCAAATAGTGGCTCACGACGCAACCACAACAGGACATGAAGAACAGGTACGACAAGCTGCGAATCCAGGTGGAGGCGACCAACAAGCAGCGCGTGGTCGAGGCCAATCTCGACCAGGCCTTCCAGCACATGACCGAGAGCACCGTCTACAAGCTGCGCGAGGTACTTACTGCAATTGCGTCGCTCTTTAGCTCCGATCCGATGCGCGCTCACACGCCAACCGGTCCCATGTTGCCGCTTGACGTGGCGCAGGTGGAGGCGCGCAAGCAGTTCGAAATCGCGGACGTGTGCTGCGACATGGTGACGGACCACATCAATTTCCTGTCGCGGAGCCTCACCATTCTCAAGGAGCTCGAGCCCAAGCTCCAGCAGGCCAAGGCCGAGTCGCAGCAGCGGCGCAAGGAGTTCGAGGATAAGTTCAAGGGGCCGCCGGTGAGCGAACCCGCTCTCACCATCTCCACGGCCGACCGGCAGTCGCTCGGCCTTCCCCCTCTCCTCCGCTCCGGCGACAAGCCCCGCCACGTCGTCCGCAACTCCGCACCCGCTCCTGAGGTTCGCATCTCCACTTTGCGTAACGTGCGCTGCGCACGATCTGTGTCGTGTGCGGTGCAAGCGTGTGTGCTGTGTGCTGTGTGCTGTGTGCTGTGTGCTGTGTGCTGTGTGCTGTGTGCTGTGTGCTGTGTGCTGTGTGCTGTGTGCTGTGTGCTGTGTGCTGTGCTGTGTGCCGTGTACTGTGTGCCATCAGTGCACTGATGACCGGCTCGTCAACGTGTGCAGAGGACGAAGGTGTTCGGCACGGAGCTCTCGGCACTCCTCAAGCGCTCTCCCAATTCTCGCTCATCCATTCCGCCGTTCGTCGACAAGGCCATCTCCTACCTCGAGGCCAAAGGCACGTACCTTCTGGCGTATTCGATTCAAGTCAATGTGTGTGGTGTGTCTTACCCCTCGCGTGTCGTGTCGTGCCATGTGCGTGTCGTGTGCGGTCAGGTCTCGGTGAGGAGGGTCTGTTCCGCATATCCGGCAACAAAGCGACGATGGATGACCTCCAGCTGAAGATCGATTGCGGAATGGACTACAACTTTGAGGTGAGTCTGGCGAGGGCGTCGGCAGGGAGAACCGGCAGAGAGTACTCATCGCGTGTGCGGTGGGCGGCAACAGGAAGAGGTAAACGATCCACATTGCGTGGCCGGACTGCTGAAACAATACGTGCGCAAGCTCCCGGGCGGCCTCATCTGCGGCAAGGCCCAACAGCGATTCGTTGCCGCAGGAAGTACGATTTGTTTGTCGCGTGTAGTGTGTTGCTTTGTATTCACACATTTTCTTTTGCGTATGTGCCAGGTTTGCGTGAAGAAAGCTTGATGGCGGATTACCTGGCGGTGATGCTGCCGGCAAGCCTGCCACGCGAGAACTACGACCTATTAAAGAGCCTCTTCCTGCATTTCCACAAGGTCGTACAGCACAAGGACATCACCAAAATGGTACGCACTACCCCTCTCATTCGATCTCTCCGTTCCTTGTGGCGCACTAGCCTTTTTTTTAAAACTCCTATTTCCTCAGACGGAAGCGAACATGGCGACGGTGTGGGGACCTAACCTGTTTATCACCGACGACCCTATGACCATGCAAGCGGGCAACCTGCCCGAAATCGTTAAAGTTCTCATCAAGAACGCACCCATGATATTGGCGGTACTCTCGCGCCCTCACCCCCCGACGCTGCGCAATGCCGTTGACGGCCTGGTCTAATCAATCATCGGCCGGTGGTGCAGGACGAAAACCTTGCGCGGGCGAGTGACACGTACGAGGGCAAAGCCGGGTACGACCTGCAGCCCAGGAGCGCCGTGGAGTTGGAGCTGCGAACAGGCGACTCGCTCTTCGTATGGCGCACATTCTCCCCCGAGTGGGTCTACGCCGAAAACCAGGGTTCGTGTCCCACCCAGCTTCCTCCGTTCTCCCGTTCGCACGCAGCTCAACGCGCGGCTGACGGCCTCTTTCCCTTTCGCTCACGGTAGGAGTGGTGGGCTTGGTTCCGCTGAACTACATCACGCTTTGAGTCTCCGCCATCACCTTCCTGCCTGCGCGGGCGTTTAGCTCGCCCCACCGCATGCACTACTGTATTACCCTACCCGCCCACACATAATTCACCAGATGTATAAATCCACAACACGTTTCGTTTGTTCAGCGTACGCGGCGTGTGGCCATCGTGTGTCACTCGGCGAATGTCGGACGTTTGTCGGCGCTTTGTCTCTGTGTCCCTTGTCATCCCCGATTACCACCCGCTAACTGCCCGCCCTGACGAAGCAACCACACAGCACACAGCTCCCCGGCTAACGCATCTTCAACACCAACCTACTACCACCGTCTTCTTCAACAACCACCACCCACCCCTAGCTAGACAGTAGAATGCGGCCACAGAGGGCAGGTCCCGGCACATCCAATTACACGCCCGGCAAGCTGGACGCGGGCAAGACCCTGCCCACGCCCCAGACCCAGGGCACGCGCGTCCAGACGGCCGGGCCGGGCACCAGCGGCTACGTGCCGGGCAAGCTCGATATGGGCAAGGCCATGCCCACGCCCCAGACCCAGGGCACCAGGGTGCAGGGCGTGGGGCCGGGCACCAGCGGTTACGTGCCAGGCGCGCTCGACATGGGCAAGACCATGCCCACGCCCGAGACTCAGGGCACCCGGGTGCAGGCCGCCGGACCCGGCAGCACCGGCTACGACCCGCAGAGACACGACGCAGGGAAGTACCTGCCTGCAAGCGGTGGCAACCCGGGCTTCGTGCGCGCCGGTGCGTGCTTGACACTTTAAACAGCGCAGCTTTCTTCGGCCTGCCAAAAGCATGCAGCTGACCTCGCGGTTTTGTTCGTACTCTTCGCAGGCTCCACAGCGTCTGGTCCGGGCACGCAGAACCACCAGGCACCTTCATACACGCCCGGGTGGGCCACGAATGTTTCCCGCCCGTGAGCGAGCTTGTTGTCGGATAACAACCTCCATCAGTTTTTGACAGAGCAACGTCCCAAACGGGTTGTTAGCAATACACTCCCGCACCCTCCTCTACTGTTGACTCTTGCGTTGCTGTAAGAGCGGACATAAACGTTGGTGGCCACTGCTCTTTGTGTGCTCACCGGTTACAATGTACTCACGGACTAAAGTCCCGTGTAACTAATGGGGGCAGGCTCTGTGAAAACTGGGTGGACACCCAAAAACTTGAAAAAATAGTAGAATTTGTTCACTGCAAAGACGGACAAGGAGCAACAACGCAGCGACCACCACCAACCGGACGCGTGGCCATCGAGCTTCGGTAGGGTCCGCAGAGACTTAAATCTTTTTTTCTACGGCCGCTGTAAACCGAACAGCATCGACTGAGATGTTTGCTGGATTAGACGTGTCAATCTTTGGGCTAGACCCGCAAAAACGCTCGAGCCTCACTCAGGCCATCAAGGCGGGCGGAGGCCAGGTCCACTACGTGCCCACCGCCAAGGTACCCTCCCGAGCTTCTTTTATTTAGAATTTTGGTCAATATAAATCATTATTTTTTTCATTCTCAAAATTGCAGACAACGCACCTGGTTGTGACGGAGGAGTTCGTCAAGGCCAATCCGACACGCGCCAAGGAGGCCCGGAAGAAGGGCCACCTCCTCATCTCTCCGCAGTACTTCGCCGACTGCGAGGCGCAGGGTGAGCGACTAGACCCAGCCCCATTCCTCGTCGCTTACGCTCAGACCGAGGTGAGTGTTGCGTGTCATGTGTCGTGTTGCGTGCGTGGGCTTGCATGTTGTTTTGGTGCTGACGATCTCCTGGAACAGCGTGATGCGCTCGAAGTGCCCAACACAGCGGACATTCCAACACCCCCTTCACCCTCTACGCCAGAGGAAAGCGCTCTAGATGTCGACGGCCAGCAGGCCGCAGTGGTTGTTCAATCCAACGGCACCGCGCCCGTTGCCGCTACGAAGAAGCCCAGCCCAAAGGGAGCCAAGGTACAAACACGCACACACGCACGGGAGTGCGCTTTGATTGGGCTAACTCTGAATTCTCGTCGCTCACGCCCTTGCAGCCAAAGGAGGCCAAGTGGCGAAGCGCCCGCGTGTTCATTTCGTCCACGTTCAGGGACATGCACGGTGAGCGCGACTATCTGACCCGCTACGTTTTCCCGGAGTTGCAGGAGAGGTACACTACGACACTACATCAGCCTTCACCACGACAACGATGCACGACCATTATCGATGCTGCAAAGCACACACACACACGCACACGCACAACACACACGCACATACTCACAAAGACACTGCAGGTGCAACAAGCTGCGGGTGCACATCACGCCCGTGGATCTGAGGTGGGGCGTCACAGAGGAGGAAACGCAGCAGGCGCTCGAGATCTGCCTGGGCGAGATCGACAACTGTCGACCGTTCTTCATAGGTCTGCTCGGCCGCAGGTACGGTTGGTGCCCGGACGAGTACGTGGCGCCCGATGAGCCGCGCTACGATTGGCTGCGCCATTTCCCCTCGGGCTACTCAATCACGCACCTGGAGATGTACGCACGCTCACGCCCCCGGCTCTGCACCTGTTTTTACCGCGCACGACATGGATGGCTCACAAGACCGTACCCGCACTAGGCACTACGCCGTACTGAGGGATCCGGCCAAGGCGCGAGGCTACTTCTACATGCGCGACCCGTCGTTTGAGCGCAGCGTGCCCAACGCGCATGTGAAGGATTTCGAGGTATTTCGATGTGCTCTGCTGACGTGTCGCACCTCCCAAACAAAGGGGTCCAACCGAATGGTGGTCTAACAAACGTTCTGCAGGCAGAGTCGTTTGATGCGGGCCAGAGAATGGAGCGACTCAAGGAGACGATCAAGGAGGTCATGCCGCCCCAGTGCTACTACGACTACTACCCCTGCTCGTGGAAGGGAATGGTCGACGGCAAGGTACGCGGCTTTTCCGCTATCGACTCAGCGAGCGCACCTACGCCGGCTCGGTGGTTGCTGATATCTTACTTTCTTTCTTGCAGCCGATGGTGGGCGACCTGGAGCGCTTCGGCGAGCGGGTCCTGGCCGACTTGTGGCAAGCCTTCCGTGAAGAGGTGTACCACACGCACACGACCTCGATTGCGCCCGTTGAGTGCGCTTCTACTCACTCATTCAATTCCAGTTCCCGGAGGAAGAGACGGAGCTGGACCCGCTCACGCAGGCCCGCGCCTACCACGAGTCGTTCATTGAGTCGCACGCCCGTAGCTTCGTGGGGCGCAGCAAGATCCTCCAGGAGATCCACAACTACACAGAATCGGTACCACACGAGCCCAGATAACTGCAGCTGACGATGATCGCCTCCTTAACTCTAAACAATCGTGGTCAATTTGTGCAGGATGTGCCGTCGTTGTTTGCAGTGCTGGGCGAACCAGGCGGAGGGAAGAGCTCTCTCGTGGCCGCGTTCGCTCGCGAGTACATCCGCAAGAGCAAGGAGCAGGGCAACGTGGTCATTCCGCACTTTGTGGGCGCCGCGCCCGGGTCGACCAACTGTCGACACACTCTCGAGCGTCTGACCAGCGAACTCAAGCTGGTGATCGCCACTCACGCCCCGCAGGCCGCCGCCAATGAAACCGCAGTCGATGACGCGAAAGGTAAGCTCCAATTGTGTGCGGTCATGTGCGATGTGTGTGTGCGGTTGCGTGTGCTTACCAACCGACTATTGGATTGTAGAGGGTGGAGAGAAGGAAGACGATGAGGCGGTGGAGAAGGAGGAGGGAGTGGCCGAGGACTACACAGCGCTGAAGCAGGGATTCCTAAAGCTGCTTGAGAAGGCCGCGGCCGCCGTCGCTGGCTCACATAAGAGTACGCCTGCCCCCACTCGCTGGCTCGCTCTGTGGTCCTCTCGTTCATTTGAGCTCACTCCCTCTCGTCACAGCTGCCCAGCGCCGGTTGGTTTTGATTATCGATGCGCTCAACCAGCTGGATGAGAGCTACAACGCCCACTCGCTCGATTGGCTTCCCCGTGAGTTGCCCAAGGTTGGTGTCACCCCTGGGGCCACTTTTTCTTTTCTTTTCACCTGCCCCCGTCTGGCGGTGGGCTCGATCACC